GGGTACCTAGTTTCGCGCAGATGGGTTACACCGGGAAAATGTTGCACTCGTTATTAAAAAATAAAACACAAATGTTTGACTACTGCAAAACGAAAATTGACCGAGAAAATTTAATTTCAAACTCTGGGATTTTTCATGCCAATTTCCATTTGCATTGAGAGATTGGTTTGTAAATACTAAATTAGAATAGTTCCAACTTGATTTTTTCCGCTCAATGGCATTCTTTTGTGATCTCTTCATATAATTAATTTACAATTTCTTATTGTTTTGGTCACGTTTTGCATGCCCGAAGAATTTCCTCACAAGTAATTATAAATTCTCAATCTTTATAAATACGTTATGAAAACTCTCGCAATTTTTATTACTTTAGAATCATAATTTAATAATGGATAAAAGACTTCATTAAAGTATAAATATTTTTCATTTTAATTGCAAATAGTATTAAGTTTTGGCTATGTGCTTGATCCGAAATCTTCTAGTGTTTTTTTATACAACACAAAATCTATAACATTTTATAAATAAGATCTCCATTAAATATCTATCTATCTATGTATAATATATATATATATATATATATTTGATATATATATATATATATTCAATAAAAATAAAATTAGAAGTACTGATGTAGGAATACTGAGACGTAGAGACGCAGAAATACTGATGGTGAAGCACGTAGATGGCGTATTGAAGAGGAAAAATTCTAATTGCGTAGTATGCTAAAATGTTGAATCTGTAATGACTAGGAAGCTTGGCAGCCGAGTGACATTAAATATTCATTTTTATTTCAATTGACATTTATGGCCACAATTTACTTGCCACTCTAATCTTGCCTATTCAAAAATACTTACAATTTTGACACTGCTGCGATAGGAAGGGAGCACAGCGAAATAGCGTCATTATAGGGAGAAAGGCAGTAGCTAAAGTGCGCAATTATCCAGTATGGAAGCTCACTAAAAGAGAAGGTTTTGGTATAGATTAGAAAGGTTTCAGTTCTCGAAATTTTGAGTTCAGATTACGAATTAGCTACGTCATAAGCGCTACGAAACCATACAAGATAAATTGATTTAGAAATCAAGCAGTCCAGAAAAGTTATGATTTTTAGAATAGAGAAGGAAAATTAAGGGGTTATCTCTAATTTAAATTATAATTTTGATTTACATATTTTTTATTTTATATAGTAAAATGTAAGCTCATCGAGTGGGAGACTAGAATCGCCATTGAAAACTGAAGTGTTAAGCTACTCATCCAGTATTACTGTGTCTCACTCCTAGACGTCGTCTAAAATAAACTTTCTTTTTACATGGTTCATTACGCATTCTGCTATACAGAGCTGATAACGTTTATTCCATCGCGAGTTTTGATTCACACACTTTTTACCTTACACAGATTAAATATTTTAGCATTAACATTTTACCAGAATTCTTCCTCTTCAATATGCCATCTGCGTGCTTCGCCATCAGTATTTTTGCATTTCTACGTCTCAGTGTTGCTACATCAGTACTTCTAATTTTGTTTTTATGTTTTTAGCCGAATTGAATATAGTTTATGATGAATATAGTTTATATTGATGGATACGAACTAATTATCGAAAACATATTTTTCGTCACACATGGATTTAAACTAGGGGTAACTCCTTAATTCCCCGTCTCTATTATAAAAATAAAAATAACATTTCGGACTGCGTCATTTCTACATCAGTCCAGCTTGCATAGATTGCGTAATGCTCATAGCGTAGCTAATTCGGAACATGAACTCAAAATTTCGAGAACTGAAACCTTTCTAATCTAATCCCAAGCCTTCTCTTGGTGAGCCTCCATATTGGATAACTGAGCAGCACTTCAGCTTCAGCTCTCTTACTGTCAGTGTTTCTCCATTTCTACTTCTCAGTGTTCCTTCGTCAGTACAGTATATTGTTTTATCATACACACACACACACACACACACACACACACACACACACATATATATATATATATATTGATCAATACTTTTCCACAATAATTTGCATAGAACTGTTCATCTTAACATCAGAAATTTTATTCTAAATTATATTCGATGTTTGAGAGTAAGCCCACATATTTCACTGTGGTAGTGACATCAGAAATCTGAGATAGCCAATTCTTAACAATGATCTCCAGGCATCATTTGCCTGCAGAACTACGATAGAGAGCCATTGGAAGACTAGAGGCAAGACAAAATCAAAAAGAGGTGGCCAGATGGCTAAATGTGAGTCCTTCTGTGGTTCATAGACTTTGCAGGCAATTTCAAACCACAGATTCGGTATCTAGGAGGTTCAGCCAAGGACGACCAGCTGCTACGACGAGCGTCGATGACCGATATTTGACATTATGTGCACGCAGGAATAGAACTGCTACGCCGATTCTTCTTAGATCCTCCCTTGCTGCAGCCACTGGAAGGTTGGTGTCAACGTCAACTGTGCGTAGAAGGCTTCACGAAAGATGGTCTGTATGCGAGGCGACTAGCCATCTGCGTGCCTTTCACGTCACGCCATAGGAGGAACCGTTTGCAATGGGCACGACAACATGTCCACTAGACACCTGATCAATGGAGGGCTGTTCTCTTTACGGATGAATTCAGGGTTTAGTCAAGAAAGAGATAGAAAGCGTTATTTGATATGGAGAGAATATGGAGCCCGTTATCATCCGTCAAACATCCGTGAAAGAGATGCATACGGAAGAGGCAGTGTCTGTGTTTGGGGTGGCATCTCTTTGGATGTATGCACAAACCTCCATGTCTTTCGAAGGGGAACCGTGAATGCTCAAGTTTGCAGAGATGACATCCTTGATGTTTATGTGCACCCATATGCCGGGGCTATAGGAGATGCTTTCCTGTTACAGGACAACAACGCAAGACCACACAGGGATCGCATCGTAGATGATTATCTTCAACAGGAAACAATTATGCGCATGGAGTGACCAGCTCGATCCCCAAACTTGAATCCTATCGAGCACGTTTAGGATGCTTTAGGGAGACGTCTAGCTACTCTCAATGCGCCCCTCAGACCCTTGTCGCGCTTGCAAGTGCCTTGCAACAGCAATGGTTCTCGCTTCCTATGGAACTGATAGATCGCATAATTAAAAGCATCACACATCGCTGTATGTGCTGTATTGCTTCTAGAGGCGATCATATTCCATATTGAAGGTACTTTTCCTATAGCAAACTGACACCTTCGATTTGTTCATTTTATACATGAGCTAATTTCTATACTACGATATTTTTCTGGTAATTTCTTTTTATGTTATTTGATACCTTACTATGTGTTGTATATTGTAGATAAGTTTAATTAAATTCTACGTGTAACTTTTTCAGTAATCGTGATTTTTGTGATTTTTCTTAATTTATGATAACCAATGTATTTCATTTAATTTTCGGTTAAGAAAAATCATTTTTTGAAATTTTTTTCTGCGGGATTCAAATGATCGCTTTCAATTTAATTGATATCAGTCATTGTTTAACTATAATTTACTTTCACCACTTTATCGAAATTTTATACTACTATTTCACTAGCAAGAAATGTGCATCTCATTTAAATACAACGTTAGCCCAACACTTATGTCTTTAGAAAAATATATCCTGATTGTATTTGGCTAAGTGACGAATGTTTTACGCGTTACCTTTTTGTAATATGACAGATTTCAGTGCGAAGGTTAAATTCTTCCACAACATGTCTGAGTATTTTTATGCCAACTGTCACAATGCACTATTTAAGACCGTCTAATCTTGAAGAAAGAGAGGAAAAAAAAATTGAGTCCTTTGCGTATCCCCATGATGTTATATCTGAACTGTTCGATGTCACACTCGTGTTCTGGTCTGTTGAAAGGCCAATCTAGTAATATGAACGCGAATTTCCCTCCACCGCTTTCTAAAATGACACTGTACAGCAGAAACACAAAATTTGTTTTTGCATATTTAAAGACATAAAAGCTTTTTCTATTTAATTAGGTTTCATAGTGTTCGACTGATATACAGCTTTGATGTTGTAAGGTCTTTATTTTATTCTAACCAATTATTTTTAGTTTTCCTTTCCTTTTCCTCCTGATTTCAGTTCCTGCCGGAATGTAAATTGTCATGACGTAGATGGAAACCTAAACGTGTTTCAAAAGCAGTATTTAAGCTGTATTTCAAGAGTTTAAATATAGTATTAGTGGACTTAAATCCGAGTTATGCTGCGTGTTCGAAATTAGCTCTCTAGTCGGTGTTAGACACCTTTTAATTTACACTGATATTCCTCGGCTTGGCTTTGCTGTGTGCAGCCGATTTAGCGTTAGTTAAGCTAAGAAGCTAGTCGTTAGATATCTTAACTCATTAGTGACTTCTTACATTCTTATTTTCTGTTAAAATTACGTTAGCCACGAGTGGAAGTGATTTAGAGCACGAAGTGCGAGCATCTGTTTTAATTCATTTCAAATAAAAAGGTTATTTAAAACCTTTCTTCTGCAGTATTTATTCTTCAAGACATGGCGAGAATTCACTACTTCGTCTTCTACAAAAGTCCAAGCGTATGCTACCGAAAAGAAGAGGAGACTTATAATGTGACACCACGGAACCATACGAAAGAAGAAGGTTTGAAGATATCCTCTATAACTAAGTACTTAAATACTTCTTGATTAAAATAAATAAAAACAAGCAATCTTTGATTTATAAACATTTAATCTGTCTTTTTCTTTTAGGTTAAGCCCACCAGCGGCCGAGCGGTAAAGTCGCTGAACACTGGTAGTTTGGTCCGAGGTCGAATCCCGCGAACGGGCGGGCTGCATGGGTGTTTTCGTGGTTTTCCCCATTTGTAATGTGTATACGAGCCAGTTTCCCTTAGAAAGTCCTCCACGAAGGCATCCCTCCCCTTAGGCAAATAGCCCTCGAGGCTTTGCCGTAATTAAATAACCTAACCTAACCTAACCTTTCTTTTAGGTTAATCCTGTATTTTAGAAACAATTTATCTTAAATTGCCAAAACAGTGTTTATTGAAAGTTACTCACCAGCAAGACCTGTTGTGAAATCTATAGTTGGGGAGAATTCGCCTCTGCCAAAAACATTGTAAGCAGCCAATCTGAGTTCATATCTCGTGGATCCTTTTAGGCCAGTTAGGTAAAAAGAATTTCTTTCTCCAGGTAAGTGAATATGATCCCATTCCTCGCCTTCTTCGCGAAATTCCAACAGGTATTCTACAATAAAATTTGAAAATCAATGCATTGTGTGATCTTTATTTAACCAGACTAGTATGTAAGATTTCTTAACTCTTTTATTTGTCTAGATAAGAAATTTTACTTTACATTTTTGAAAATTTACAGAGAATTTTCAAGAAATTACATTCAGTTTGATTTGGTTGAAGATGGATATTTGAATAATCAGAAAAGAGTTAATTACATTCTAAACTTTGAAATCCTTTTTCATTACATAATCGGTACTTTTCCGTTTCGCCGGCGCAAATCTCGCCTAGCAGACTTTATTGGCGACAACATACAATATGCACATAAAAAATGTTAACAAATGTTAGTTCTAAGAATTTTTTATTTGAAGGCACACACATTTAATAGCGTTTTAAGTTTTGTAAAAAGACAATAAAATTGTAAAAAAGACATTAATTTAAGAATTTACTATGGTTTCATGGTTCAACATCCTGAGTCCCGGTTCGTATCACGTGACCCAAGTGATCTCATCCCACGTAAACTACGCTACAAAAATCTAATTCTCTCAGTAATTACCTACATTAATTTCAAGTTAAATCATAATTTCGAATACAAGCTTAAATGCAAGAATTACTTCAATTCGTACGAATAGCTTACTTAGAAAGTATGTAAAACCGCGGTGCTTTACTTCGCTGGTGTGTATTCTCATTAGAAATAGATGAATTTAACCTTGACGTTTGCCTTTTCTATATTTTCGGCTTTAGGGTGAGTGGTGTGATTGCATTCTAATTTGACTTAAATTACCGCGAATGGCCTTAGGGCATAAAACTTGAACCTATCTGATAAAAATTCTATGTAATTGTATGCCAGTATTGAAAGAAACAATCAATCTGATAAGAAATGGCTGCGACTTGCTTTTGAAAATGAGGTGTAAAAGGTTACCAGCGAGGATATTCCGTTTGGCATCAGTTGTACCATTATTGGCGACTTTATCGCCCCGCGCCGGCAAAACGGAAAAGTACAGATAATCTTTATTATTTGAATAAAAATGGCAATAAAGTGCAAGTACAAGAATGATGTTTCATTATTTTAAAATTGCATAAGTCAAATATAAGGCAAAAAAAATTTAGATCCTACCTTGGTAGACGGTTGCACGGATTTTTGGCAATTTACGTTGACGCAATTGTTGGTGCGGTTTTTAGAATCGTCAGTCATCTTGAAAAACGTTGTTTTACGTATTTTACGCATAGTAAAGTATTTTAACTTAAAAAATTATTACTTTCATATAGCAAAGAAGAGAATAAAAACACCGCTATAAAAAACATTGCGCCAACGTTTAATTAGATTAAAATATTACTTAAATTGAATATCGAATTAAAAACCATCATCCAACATTTAAAAGAAATTAAGATATTATAAATTCAAATACTTTAAAATACGTTTTATAGAATATAATTAACATTAAAACATATGTGACAATAATTATCTCAGCAATTTTTGAAAATAGTGTATTAATTTTTTTTAACAAAAATTGAAGTATACAATTATAAAATAAAAGAAAAATATGTACTTACATTTTTTGAGTCATTTAACCTGTCGTTTATTGATAAGTACCACAAAAAAAATCGGAATCATAATTTAGATATCAATGAAAAAAATTGAAAAATGTAATATCAAGGGCAGGAATAAAAAAATTTAAAAAAAATTATAAATAGATAAAGCAATTTAGAGCCAAATTAATGGATCATGAAGATTAAAAATAACAAAAAAAATTTGGAAAAAAAAAAATATTAAGATTTCGAAGATCCTTTAACCGCCCTTCCCTGAAGTACATGCCAATCATCCCAGTTTATGTCTCGAATAATTTCGAGAAATTTAACATATGGATGCTCATTCAATGCAGAGCAAATTTTCCTAAACAAATACCAGGCTATGTATCCTTCAAAATCTCCTCGACGATTGTAAACCGGCAAAGAGTTTTTGAAGTCACGCCATTGTCTTTCAACTGTGTTAGTATGAGCTCCGGTTTCAGGATCTACGAAATGGAGCGAATGGTTAACTTGCAAGTGATTGAAAACCTTCTTCGCTCAAACGGTCATAAGCTTTCCAGCAGTCCGAAATAATCTGGGTTCCCGGTTCGATCCAATCCTTAATTAAAGCGAGAAGAGTATCCGCTGTTCTGTCTGGCACAGCAACTAAAAAAAAGCAGTGACCTGAATCGCGCTCTATTCCCCCCAAAACCCACTGCCCTTCAACGAATCATTACGACCCTTGTTAAACTTTCTTTTCCCGATTTTTGGACTCATCAATCTCCACAATTTTCCCTGGCCTTCCGATCTTCTCCGTTTTAGTTTCCACAAAATTAACTAAAACGTCGGTTACATAACTGCGCCAGTCTCCAGCTTTGAAATAGTACCGAGCTCACATTGAATTCTACAAAATGAATAACTAAAGTGTAGTTACATAACTGCGCCAGTCAGCTACAGCTTCTGAAAAAATATCGAGCTCACATTGAATTCTATCGTACAAAGAACCCATGAATATTTCGTACACTAGAGCTAAAATGACAGCAATTGGAAGTTTATTGCTGGTAAAAAAGGAGGGAATGCTAATACTTTTTTTACCGTTACAGCGGTTATTTCTTCCACCGTGACCACAATACCATATACGGCCGTCCTCAGGAATCGGCTCTTTTAACCATCTTCATCTGTGATCCACATTTCTCGCACTTCATTGAAGAAGCAATTAGCGAGGTTTCTTCCAAAAATTTTAAAATAAAATTTCCTCTGACCCTTGTAACAATTTGTAAACAAATCTTTGATTAGGAAAGCCAGGCTGGCCAAAATAAGGTCTCAAAGAACAATTTTTTGATTCCGATACCAATAATTCTTGGTACTTACCAATAACAACATTCATCTTTGAAAGAGACATCTTTGAAGGAATTCGAAGATATGAATTAAATTTTAAAATGGCGCGGTAATGCACAAATTTTCAATAACCAATCAGGGAGCTGATTACAGCTCGTTAATGCACAAATATTCTATAACCAATCAGAGAGCTGATTACATCACGCCTAGAATTAAAATTTATTTAATAAATTCATACATAATAAAATCATTTTTAAAAAAAATGCAAAATTAAATTGTATTTTAATATTTAACAGCCATAAATAATGTTTAAAACATTAGATTAAATTTATAGATATTAAAACCAATTACTTTTAAAGTAAGGTGACGTCATTGATTACATCATCCACAACATAAAATTTCATAAATATGATAAACAATAAAATTTTTATTTCAAATAAAAATGCAAAATTAAATTGATTTTTAATATTTAGAAGCCATAAATAATATTTAAAACACGGAATTTATGCATAATAAAACGCATTATTTTTAAAATAAAATGACAACAAGTATCGGTTACCATAAATAACAAACTGTCCAGCAATGGTTTACCATAAGTCGTATTACTCGCCAAAAGAAAAATCGCCAAAAATCGCAAAAATCGTGCAACCGTCTACCAAAGTAGCATCAAAATTATTATAATGGTTCTATATAATTAGTAATAATAAAATTCATGTCAGAATACACTGAAATTCTAACTGTATCTTCTTTTATTTTTAATGCGACGTTCTCTTATTTGAAATACGTGGAATTAAATCCACAGCCGTAGTCATTTCTTGGAAGCTCCGCCTTTCCAAAGGCTATCAAAAGACTCGCAAAAGGATTATGGGGCTTTTTCTTAATGTCACGATGCAGTAACTTCATACAAAAAGTTATTAGTAATTCTTTTTTTTACTCCGGAATCTGATTTTCGTAACTGCATTTCTCCGAATAATAATTAATGGATCCTGTTTTTAAACTTATCCTCTGATTATTTGAGCTACGACTAAAGCTGATAATCACAAGGAGTAGGCAGGATGGGTGTACCCAAAAGGAAATATTCCAATGAAGAGAAAGAATTTTAAGTGCAATGCGTCGTTTTTTACAAACTGAAGAATTGTGAATTGTGATACAGCTTTGTTGTCGCAATTGAGCGCGTCTCGTAGTTAGACCGCATGATTTGGATATCGTCTGCTGAAAAAGCTGAAGAATTTCAATTTTATGTTTTGTTTTTTTAACAGACACAAACGAGCAGGATTAAATAGTGGACTCAACAGCCAAGTAAGAACATACAGGTCTCAAAAAGTGATGGGGACACTTGTGCTTTACAAAAGGAAACTGAATAAAATAAAATAAAAACATGTAAAAATTTTTTGTGGGTGTTTTCATACGTAAATTTAGTAACAATTAACATAACATACTCGTATTTCTCATAATATTAAAATATTAATTTAAAAAAATACAATTGTTTAAAACGGAGCAAAAAAGGGTCATAAAGTGATGGGACACCATTAGATACTACTACGTACTACAAAAAATATTTTTGGGGTTTTTTATTTTTATCAAAAGCAATTGCAATAATTTATAAAAATCGTCCTGCAGTATTTCTCTCCAGTTTGTTTGGAATTTTTGTGTTTTTAGCTCTGTGCAGCATGAATGCTAAACGAAAAGAAACTTTGCCGAAACTCGAAAATTAGTTATTAATTTGCATATTGAACGTGGAAAATCTATTAAAGAAAACTCCTGAAACAGTTAACTTGAGTCATTCAACAGTTTTCAAATATCATTAACGATATAAAAGAATCACATGATTCAGGATGAAAGAAGACTTGCCGACCATCAAGCTATCCAATGGAATAAAGAGAATATTCGTTCGAAAATTAACAAAATCCAAGAATGAGTGCTCCTAAAGTTGGTGCTGATTTACAAGCATTATATGAGTAATTGTTAAACCTGAGACTATTAGAAGAGTAATCGATCTGCTGGATATCACGGTAGAGCAGCCAGAAAAATTTCTTCGTAAGTGAAAAGATAGAAAACTCAGACTGGCTTTCGCAAAACCAACATAAATAAGAATTCTGATTACTGGAATGAATTATATTTGCTGAGAGAGTAAATTTAATATATTTGGTTCTGACGGTAGAATCCTGG